GCTGGTATAGACGCAACTACAATAGTAAGCATGGTGACACAATTAATCTATATGATAATCTAATAAAAGGGTTGTGCTAAAAGCTACCAACATGGTGATTATATCAAAGAGTGGTAGAGAGTCCAACCATCAATTAAATGGTAATGACTTGAGGACCGCTGCAAAAATTATCTGGTAATGATTTCAACAAGCAACATGAGTTAGCGGTAGTCTTCATGCATTGTTCTCTCCTTTTCAATAACCTTGTGCTTTTGGATGTGGTTAATTTGCAGCAAATGCAACATATTGTTTTGCTAATCCATCTAACAACTCCTTAGTTAAACCTATCTCAATGACACATTTCTTGCATGTGTTGCCCAAATTTATATAGAATAATACCAAAATAAAGAAGCAAATAGCGCTATTTAATGAAAGAATAAAAAATCTCATCAGAAACAACATTCGAGACTTGCATAATGCAGATTTATAACTTTAGATTACAGATTATGCCGCTAAACTTTGAATCAACTTTAACTATGGCACCTAAAGTTTTATTTAAAGAAAGATAAAAAATATAATAAGGTAATTTGAAATTGAAGCTTATTATGTAGCGATATAATGTTGATTTATAAATTCACAGTTCCTCTTGGACTGGCCAGAGCTACTCTTAGCTCTAGCCATTTGGTTTGAGCACTGCCATGAAAGCTCCTCCAACTTCCCTCTCAGCCCGGGCATCACAATATCGATCTCTAGTTGCTTCATTATGTTTTTAACTTCTGATAACATGAAGCCTGTCAAGCATGCAAATTACTTCAAAACATAACAAAAGCTCCTATATACAACACTAACAAAAAGAACTTCAGATCCTTTCAATCCCATAAAGTTTTTTGCCCAAATTTGGTCCAAACTGAAAGGTGTCGATGTTTTATCGCTTATTAAGGATCTAATAGTGATCAGAATGAAGCTGTTTGGATAACCGTGGCTTATCGCCTAGCTACAAAACAACTCAATAAAAGTCTTGTAGGAATTGACTAATTAGTTTTTGAATGGTAAGATGTATTCACTGAAGAGATCCCATATTGGGAGCAAAGCACATGTCTTGGATGAATTCTAGGACGGAGATAATTACCTAAATGGTCAAGTTCACGGAGGGAACGGACACCTCTTGAATCAATCTCCTCTCCCAGTCGCTATGTCCTCAAAAGCGTATTCTGGAAGATTCTCAAAGGGCTCCTTCCATGGGTCGTTTTAGCCAGATCATAAGTAGCTCCACGTATTGCTTTTTGTTAGGTCCACAAGGTCTCTTTGAAGTTAGCGTATTGCTGTATTCAGCTGTCAAGAGACCAAGCCAAAGTCATAATCAGGCAGGAGAAGGAAAGCATAGCCATAGCTTACGAATTATTGAGCGGCATAACTTAAAAGGAACAGGAAGAATCATCTCTAAAGTCTAACCTGACGAATGGAATTTAAAGCAGTACTAATTGCTTGAAAATAAGGCAAGATATATAAGGCAAGGATGGAATCAAGAACTAACATATGCCACAGAACCAGAACATGTAAGCAATTGCAACAGCTGGAGCCCTTCCCAATCCAGCAGTACAATGCACATATGCTTTTCCTTTCCCTCAGAAAGGCCCATTCCAATGATGAGACGCTTTAGGTAATGAATTCTCAAAGAATCCGGATCAAAACTTTTGCTACAAATGCATCTTAAAATCATGGAAAGGAAGATAGCCAGAACACAAACTTGAGAATGAAATGGATACAATAGTATTGACCCTGAACAGTTTTCAGTCTGAACTCCAGCAGAGATACATCACTAACTACTGCAAAATCACTGTAGAACATAGAAACTGGACATAATACATGAAATGGTCCAGAAAAGTAGAAATTATGGTTAAAAATTGGCTATGGAGAATCTTGTTCCTATTATAGCCTTATTCTGATATATATTGCACCACTTATGTTAAAATTGCATATGCAAACGAAGACAATTTTGCTTACAGGCCTTCTCATATGACGAATTCCAATTGCTTGAAATCTTTTCACTATAGGCTGAAATCAATTTCCCAATACTCAATGTCCTTGTCCTGCTGCAAGTTTAGTATGTAGGCAACATTCTCTTCCTTTTCAGATGACCAATATCTTCAGGTTTCTGGGGCTGAGAACCCACGATCAAATTATCAGTTATCAGGGTGTAGTTCATGCCGACAACCGCACATGATTGATAGAATACTTATGTAGCCGAAATAAACCATCTTGAGGAAAGTATAATGCAAGTACTTAATTTAAGAACTCATTTATTTATTTGTCCAACAAACGGCATGTGTTGAATAATAAATTCTATAAAAGAAGGAATTTCAACCGCTCATATTAGATTGTTCAAAAGCCAAAAACTTTATAAAATGACACATTTATTATGCATCAAGATGCAAACACTGTTTAGAATAATTCCCCAGTTTCTTCTGTGGCGCCTAAAGCTCCACTGTAGTGTGAATAGAGCTAGAATTTTCTCTTTGGACCCAAATTTGACATAAATTAACCTCCCTTTAGGATTTCCAAAAGGGTCAATTTCAAATAAAAAATTAATTAGCCAACTAATGGGGATCTTATTCTAGAAGCCAAGTCACATGATCCAACACCAAACCGATGTAAAAAAAGCATGCTTTATAGATCCGAAAGAGACTAATATATAACGTTACCATAGTTTCTAGAACAAACCAGCCAGGAAATATCTAAAACAGAAAACTAAATTTAATAGCAAAACAGATACAAAATGAAAAGATTTAAAGAAGTAAATTGAACCAACCTAGATCATGGTGATACTCATAAGGGTTTCTCATTATTTTCTTCATGGCAATGTTGTACTCTTCCATTCTGTTGGTTTTGCTTCTGAATGAGACTTCTGTACTTGAGGGGTTTCCTCGAGTTTCATTGTCTGATAGTTTGCAAGAAAGTCTAGCCATTTTGAAGAAGTGAGTGTTGGAGAGCATGAGATTGCATGTTGATTTCCTCTTCTCAAACAAAACTTCAGTTTCAAGAGGGCATTTGAAGATTGAAGATAGGCAACTTCTACCATCCACACAACTCATTCTTGTTTCTTCTCTGCCCCCTGTTTTGTTAATATGATTGAGTACATGAATTTATAGCATAACCTTGATGCCCTTCGATTTTTAAGGTTAATGGTTAAAGAGAAACAGCTTTTGATTGCAATATTTCTAAAGCCACTCAAAGTCAATCCCATACCCATGGAAAAGTGAAAGACTTTTGAGCTTTTGGCCCAATTAACAAGAATCACCTTGTAATGGGCTGCTAAAAGCCTAAAATTCACTGCCCTCAGATTTAGGTGGGGTGGAATTAGCAGCACTCTTATTTGCTCTCCAACTAAAGATAAAGTTCAATCACCATGTGAAAATGCAACATTTTCAATCTTTTTTTTTTTTTTTTTAACAGAGTGTTTGGATTAGTTTATATGTATTTGTATGTATCTCGACTAACCCCTATAGGTGACTAATATAACATTTCACCGTCATTGTCATCTGCTTAAATCTACATTTTCAATCTCATTCAAAGACTTTGCTTGAATAATACTCAAAACATTTGAAACCATTCAGGAAATAAGGCTATCTTTAGCTTCATTTTCTATAGGAATTCCATTATTAAGATGGGATTCTTTCCTTATTGGACAAGTAATCATATAGAGTTTATTTCCATGGCTGATGTATTTGATGCATATATAGTCCCCAAATAGAAAAGGGTTGCTTTTATTTGTTAAATTTCTTGCATATTTGAACCATTCTTGGAGTGACACAAGTGCAGAAGAAAAAAGTTAAGATTGAGTTTGTGCAGAAAGAATCTCCATACGTGTCTTTGTAGAAGATGAAGATCCCAAGTGCAGAAGAAAAATCTCTTTAAAATTTTGAAACAGGGTGTCCAAACTAACTTGTGTGCATCTCAACTAATTCCTATAGGTGATTGACACAAGGGCGAATCCAAAAATTTCTATTAGAGTAGGCCAAAATAAAAATTAATTGCACATTAATATTTTTATCCATTAATATTTCTGTTAGGGTGGGACAAAATTTAGAAATTGTACATATTAATATTTTTTTTAACAATTAGAGTAGCATCTGCCCCTGAGCATAGCATCTCACCATTATGACCACTTGCTTTAATCTTGGGAGTTAGAGGGATTGGAACCTGGTTTAATTGACACATAATTTATCTTCATTTAATGAGTTAACTTTACATTTTCTCTTTCCGAATCATTGTGTGCTGCACCACTTTGTATTCTTTAGATGTAAGAGGATTTCTGTTATTTCAGAAAGTCAAGGATCGATATTAACTCCTATTTTTGTCAGTTTATCAATTTCTAATTATCCTCTTGAATCCCCACTAACACCAACACCAGGACAAATGTGTGGTTTCTGCTAGAGGTGGGCATTTGGGGCTGGACCCAAAAAGTCAGGCTTACGATCGGTCCTTGTGAGGATCGGTCCTAGGAGGTCAAGTCCTAATACCAGACCCAAACCATGGAGGAGGGCCTAGGCCCTGGTTTGGGCCCTCCTCCAAGGCCTGGGTCCAAACTATTATTTGATTTTTTCAAATTGACCCTTGGCAAATTACCAAAAACTTTTTTTTTAATTTACAATAAATACGAGTGGCTAAAATGATATTTTACAAAAAAATTACAGGCTGCAGTCAACAGTCAGTTGACCGTTGGCTTGGCTGCTCAATCAACAGTCAACTGACTGTTGTAGCCAATGGTCAGTTGACAGTCAGTTGACCGTCCTTAACTATAAAAACCCCCCAAACCTCCATTTTCTTCACAACTCAACTCTCAATCTATTCTCTTCTCTCCATCTCTCTACTCCAATTCTCAAATTCTCTTCAATTCAATTTATATTTACATTTATTCATATTATTATTTATATTATTCAATTATTATTTTAATTTTTCAATTTCATCTATTATTCAATTTCTCTCATTTTAATTATTTATTATTTTATTATAAATTCATAATGGATTCTCGAAATTATGCATTCAGAGAATCATCCCCAAATGGGTTTTACGTTCTATCCACCGAAGAACTGAAAGGGTTTGATCCATTTTCACCCTTTCAAGAGGCAGCAACTCCAATTCCACAACCACCAACGGTTGGGACTAGGTTCAGTCAAACACAAGCGAGTTGCGACTCCACGGCTTGACCATCAAAGAGGATCATGTCTAGGATATGACAATTCTTCACCAAATCAAAACAGCCAAAGCTGAATGGGTTAGGGGAAGAGAAGTTCGGGGAATGTAATTTTTGTTCAATCGTTATCGACAGTGAGAACGGGACTTTGACGATGTGACAACACTTGGAGAAGAAGCACCCCCAACATATGCAGCTATCCCGCTAGTCCGGTTCAAGTTCAACCGCACTAGGTAGGCAAATTAAAACTCGATCAACTTAATTTTAATCAACAATTCTTAACTCTCTCAACATGACAATACAATGCACTCACAACACGAGAGGAAATAGCAAAATTCATATGTGCTACGGACTCTCCTATTTCTTTATCTGAAAATCCTTATTTTGTTGAATTGATTAAAAGTACTTTTTATCCAACATTTACCCATGTTAGTAGAGGTACAATTAGAAGGGACACAATAAAACTTTATGATAAAGTAAAAAAATCAACTTTAAAAGGAATTTCAAAATTTTAGGAATATGTCTATTGCACTTACTTCTGATATATGGGCTGTTAGATTAAAAATAGATTGTTTTAGTGTCACAATACATTATCTAGATCATATATAGTGGGCCTTTACAACAAAAATTGATATGTTTTAAAGCATTATATGAAAAACATAGTGTTAAAACTACATATTTTACAATTATTGAAGTTTAGCAAGAATATTTATTATCTGAGAAAGTTATGACGCTAACGCTTGATAATGCAGCTACTAACATCTCAGTAATTTCTTAATTTGAAAAGATATTAGATCCGCATGGTGAAGAAAATTTTTTTCATCAGAGATATGTTTGCCACATCATCAATTTAATTGTTAAAGCAGGTTTAAAAGCTATATACATTTGAGGATTGAAAGGGTGTGCGCGGCTATCGGATTTATCGGTGGTAGCAATTCAAGATGGACTGAATTCCGCAAATATTGTCTCCAAGAGGATTCGCCGATTGAACCAAAGAAGTATGTATAGACATGCTTGTCCATTGGAACTCCATGTACCTGATGTTGGAAAAAGTTATACCAACCACAAGACAAATTACAAAGTTTGTCAACCGAAAGAACTATCTGGAGTAAGTCGTCAATGAATCCGATTGGACAGTTTGCGAACTATTTTTTTCGTTTCTTAAAGTTTTTTACGATTTCACTAATATATTAAGTGATATTTATTATCCTACTATTTTTTTCGTTTCTTAAAGTTTTTTACGATTTCACTAATATATTAAGTGATATTTATTATCCTACTATTAATGTAGTGTTAGATATTTAACTTTGAATTTCTACAACTTTTGCTATATATAGATATCCTACTATTATGTTATATTATCAACGTAATCTCTCGTCTGAATCATTGAATTCAATAATTCATTGGAGTAATGTTACGGGGGTATTATAGGTGGCCCTTGTGTAATAAATACTAGGACCAGAAGATACCTAATAAAACCATGGTTTGCCCTACATAGAAATTATGTGGGATGATAATTTAAAGAGGGAAGGCGACAAGCACTAGAAATCAATGTTTAAATAAGATAAAAGAGTTAATTCCTTGGGGTTCTCATTCATAAATTGATGGATATGTATCAATAAACACTTGCCCTTTTAATTATCCAACTAACTTTATGATGCTCTTTCAATTTAATTGTCTTATATCCTCATTGTGACAAATTACATGATTCTAATTCCTTGAACACACTCAAGAATCTCTTATCTTATTCTACCTAATGCCTCATGCCCTTGTGTCTTGGATTATGCTTCTTGCTTCTATGAATTATTGCCAATTTATTCAAAGTTTTAAAGTAAAACGAGTACTTTAATGATATCATCCAATTCCAATCCCCTTGTTTGTTTTATTTGAAAATCAATCACTACCCATTTGACCCCAAATGGGGTTGTTACATCATTCCATCTATAGACATAAACAAAACAAAAAGAAGAAGAAAAATTGGAAAGGTGAAGGTGAAAAACCATCAAATTACATTATAATATTATTATTTACAATCTCTTTTTGGACAATCTCTTCAAATATCTTCCTTCTAATGAAATCTAAAATTAAAAATTGAGTCTAAAAAAAGACTAAAACATTTAAATCATTTTAAATGTATACATAGTTATATTGTTCACACCTAAACCATTTCATTTCCGTTTCCGTTTCCGTTTACTTCCACTTCTACTTCTCTATCAATCTCGATTGCCCACTATTTTTCTTATTCCCAATACCAAATTTTGCAAGGAACTCCACACCCCAATCCCAAATATGCAACCCAACATATGTACCAATTCCACCAATCAACCCATAAGCAATTGACTAGGTCAAAGGCATCAACATCAATGTTATAAAGGCAGGGATAGCTTGCCTCATATCATTCCATTCAATCTCCACCACTGATCTCATTATCAACACTGCCACCAATATTAATAGCGGTCCTACCGCCCACGCCGGTATCAATGCCAACAACGGTGTAAAAAAGAATGTTAGAAAGAAATGTCCTACCACTGTTAACGCGGTCAACCTTGTTTGTCCGCCCTCTCTGATCTCAATCGATGATTCAATAAACGTCGTTACAAGTGACACACCGAGAAGTGCCCCCACGACAATTGACATGATATCCGACATGAAAGCGAAATATTGACCCTCAAAATCACCAGTTTGATCAGTAAATTCAGCAAATCTAGCCATTGAATATAACGTCCTGTTGTATCCAATATGTCAACAGGCAAAACTTGAGCCTCCCAAAAATAGCCTTTGCCTATGCTTTTAAAACTTAGTGCCCCACTGTATAAGATTTTAACCTGGTTGCTTTTGCATTTAGAAAAACTGATTCGGATCAACAAAGTGAGGCTGAAGTGCAGAGTGCACCTGCAGCCAAAGCATCTTCTCCTAAGTTATCTACTTCAACTGTGAAGCCTCGTCTTGGGGCTATCCTAGATGGACTCTGGCTTATACTCTCCTCAACTTATCTGTTGTATGTGTCTTTATTCCTGGGGCTGAGTGCAGTTGTCTCCTCATTCTTCTATTTTCAGGTAAAGTAGCCCTGCTCACAGAAATGTATTTAGGGTTTTTTAAACCGCGTGTGACTTGTATTGTATTTTTTACTGAAAGTTATTGAAGATCATTTATATTATATCAAGCACTACCTTATTTGTTTTTAGTTCAAATTTTGTCACTGTATTACTGGTTAACAATTAAAGATTGGCATATTGAATTGAGATTAATGTGCTTTGATTACTCATGGTTGCTCCAGATTTTTGGTGATTGTCTTTCCTTATATTTTTTTTTCTCTTTCTCTTGTTGAAATACATTTTGTTGTATTATTTATACCATATCCGAATCTTACTGGTCCACCATTCTTTGCTGAATTGCAGAAAGTGACTGTTTTTGCCATGACTGTTGCAAGCTCTGTTGATAGAAGAAGATTGTTTGCCCAGATAAACAGCTTCATTGCTGTTATTATTCTTGCTGGACAACTAACTTTAACAGTATGCTAACTCTATGGTTAGGTTCTGTGCTTTAATGTATTTGATTTTATACTTGGCTGTTCCAATAAATTTCTTCAAGGATGTGTTTATAGTTGGCAGAATAATTATATGTCCGCTCTCTCTCCCTTCCTCCTTTCCTAGTAGAGAGAAAAGAAAAAAGTTTGTTCCACAGTTGATGAGCTAGATATTATGATCATATGAAATTTAGTATTAGCCTAGATAAAGAAGGTTTGTGGCATATTCTATTTTTGCAAAACAACTTCTTGAAATCTTGCATAAAATAAACCTCCCAATATGGATAATTCAAATTCTTAATGGGGGTTAGAGGTTGTCACTTATTGGGGATGCTGCTAGATAACATTGTTTCGTAGTATTATACCTAGACAATGGGAAGTGTACAATGACAAGTATTATCTTGAGTCAGGCCAAAGGAAAAAGTATGATAATGATTCAAATATATAAATTCAATTAACTTATTATGTTTAAAAAGTTATATAATCCATATTTTATTTCTCTAATTTTAATATACAACTTCACTTTAATTGAGGTGTGTGCAAGCTTACCTGAACACCTTGATTACCAAAATAAATAAATAAATGCTTTTGTAAACATATTATAATAGCCTTAACAAATTTGACTCCCTCTTCCCATTTCCATTTTCCAATATAATATAAAACAACAATGTTTTATTGAGCCACCGATTTGAACAAATCCTTTAAGCATGTGCCTAATGCATTGTTATGCAACGGAAACATAAACTCTAACGCTAGTTTATTGAATATAATAATACAAGTAGTAAAGCATAAATAAATTGCCAAAATTAAATGCAAAAATAAAGAATACAAGGAATTAACGAGGTTCGGTATTAAAACCTACGTCCTCGGGCGCTGCAAAAGAAAACTCCACTATCTCCAAACAATATTATAAATATTTGGGCAATACAACAAATACCCAAAACAAAGGGGAGACACAACAAAACTTGCAAACTAAAGGGTTCTTAAAGAAATAACCCTAAACAAAAGAAGTATAATGGAATTATAACTTGGATTATAATTAACATTGATTTAGGTCCTTATATATAGGCCCCATTGTCCCAAAAGTTTCCCACTTTTCAATCCTAATCAATGTGGGACAAACAACCTTTTCTTGGCCTATTACATAAAAGTCCCTAAACCTTTCTCCATTATCATTTCTACCCCATGTGATTTTGCTAAAAGCCATTTTTCAACATGCATAACCGAGGAAAGCTTAACTCAAAACAATAATATCATTATTATAAAAGCTTGATAAATTTATCATAAACCCTTTTCTAAAGGTAGTCATGTTATTAAGAGCAATCCCAAATTTCAAATCTCAAACACTTGTACATAAAATGATAAAATAAAAAGATCAATACAATATTGTACGATGAGTTCAATAATATGTCTTAAAACTTATACATTGCCGATTCACCAACCCGAAGCTTTGGCTCACCACGCCACCATCCATATAAAGTTGTCACCATGAACCCTAAACCTACATTACATGCCGTCAGCTTTATTAATAAATAAAGGATATCAAGTTATATTTTCACACGAGGAAGATCGGAGCAAGAGGCCGGTTACGTGGACGAAGGGAGGCCGTCCACCAGGGAAATAATGATCTGATCGTATCCAAGAGAAGTTTGCCATATTTACCTGTTTTGAAACTATTTGCTCCACGGATCGTTTATCATGCAACGCCCGTCGCGTGGATAATCCGGCGGAGTTGATGTTGGCGTTGTAGATGGGGGTGGAAAAGTATTATGAAAATGGTTAAGGGCATCGTTCGAGACAGTTCCACTTCTCCCTTGAGCACCATTACCAGATGAATGATTTCCATCGTAACCAGGCAACATAGCTTTATTTGCCGATGGCCCTTCTTTTTTAACGTCGGCAGATTGAGATGGTGGTGGAAAGCTAGGGTTTTTGGTTGACATAGTAGCGAATGGTAAATAGAAAAATGGATTCTAGAGTAAAAATAATAGAAAATTCTTTGGCTAACACAAATTCTTGCCTATGGTAGGTTCACATTTATAGATGAAATTATTACTTTAGTTATTGCTTTGAAACTAGAAAGATTAAAAAAGACATATGAAATAATAATAAAAGATTAGAATTATCTTCAGGGTGCCGACAAAGCAACTACGTTTATGTTATTACACATTGAACTGTATGGATTACTATAGTAAGTTTTTAGTGTTACGTTCACGTAGCTTTAGCTTTGCTTTTGCATGCATGTGGCTTTGTCCCTTTGTTTACGAGAATGGATGAAAGCTTCCAGAAGACTCTTACAGATTCCCTAAGGGGCACATCGTAATTATATCATATATGATTCCATTAAGTCTACCAATAAAAATTCAATCTTAAAAGAATTAGTAATCGAGTAGGCCTACTAAAGAATATTTGTGATATTAAGCAAGAATTACTTTGGAGTCTTCTAATAATATAAGTATATATTAAAAGAAATTATTTTAAATTTATTTTTCTTGTATTTTAAGATGTAAAATCACTGATTAAATTTTTATATTCAAGTTTAGAAACCAAATCTCTTTTAATTGATAATATAGCCAAATTACCTAATCTTTCTTGTGACATAGTTGAAAAAAAATAAGATTTTACTAACTTTAATTTTGAAAATAGGTGATTTCCAATGCCAAGATTGACTGCAAAAAGCTTGAGAAGTCGCAACCCATAAGGTACCGGTGGCCAACGATTAGCAGAGTAAACGGGTGAGGTATGATAAGGGTTTTGGTGAGAGAGCTGACGGGAGGAAGATGGTGGTGTCAGGGAAGGCTAACGACACCAAGTACATGTCGAAAGGGCCAAAAATGGTTGTCACGCACAGTGGAGCTAGGTTGCGAGAATCGGTAGATTTCGGCGAAATTGAGGGCTATCTAGGTTAGGAAAACACTTGAAAAATGATAAAGTAATGATTTCTATCGATTTTGATGAGAAAAACGATCGGAATTAGCTTCAAACCGTCGGCAATGGCACTATAGCGGTGTAGAAGGGTGGAGATGATTTCTGTCGATTTTTTAGATTAAATTGGTGGTGAGAAATTTGAGACATGTAAATGACCATTTTAGCATTTCATTGTTAAAAGAAACAAAATGCGTTAATTTGTGGGTGTGAATCTGGAATATATGAAACCAAAGGTATAAACTTGTCATTTTGCCAAATCTTGGGAGAGAACATGTCATTTACTCGAAATTATATAACAGAAGTGTTTTTGAAATATATGTAAAAAACTTATAACAAATTTTGGCCTTCTTAGCCTTTTTTGGGGGTCTCCAGGCCAGCCTGGATAAGAAATTATACACTAACAATATTTTTATAAATATATTCAAAAAAATTTATAACAAATTTGGCCCTTTTTTAAGACCTTTTTGGGAGCCCTAGGCAGGTGCCATGCTTAAGCCGGCCGAGCACCATTGGACCTTCTACAAATCAATCTGACATGCAGGTTATATTTGACTTTTAGCAAAGTCCATTAGCAAAATCAATGAAGTGATACGATAGAGAAAGGAAAGCAGAAAGCCGACTTCAGCTAACGTTTTATTTATAGAAAGGTAAAAGATACAATAAGGTAATTTGAAATTGAAGCTTATTATGTGTCTATATATGTTTGATTTATATATTCACAGTTCCTCTTGGATTGGCCAGAGCTACTCTTAGCTCTAGCTATTCTCTGGTTTGAGCACTGCCATGAAACTGCTTCTCCACTTCCCTCTCAGCCCCGGGCATCATTATGATATAACAATGAAGCCTGTCAAGCATGCAAATTACTTCAAAACAATAACAAAAGCTCCCATTATACAACACTAACAAAAAGAACTTCGGATATCCTTTCAATCACATAAAAGTTGTTTGCCTAAATGTGGTCCAAAGTGAACGGCATGAATATTTTATTGCTTATTAAGGATCTAGTGATCAAGATTGAAGCTGTCTGGATAACCATGTCTTATCGCCTAGCTACATAAACAACTCATTGTTGGGAATTGACTAATTAGTTTTTGAATGGTAAGATGTACTATTCACTGAAGAGATCCACATATTGGGAGCAAAGCACCACGTCTTGGATGAATTCTAGGACGGAGATAATTANTAAGTTCTGTGCTGTAATGTATTTGATTTTATACTTTGCTGTTCCAATAAATTTCTTCAAGAATGTGTTAGGGATGTGTTTATACTTGGCAGAATAATTATATGTCTTCCCTCTCTCCCTACCTCCTTTCCTAGTAGAGAGAAAAGAAAAAAGTTTGTTCGAAAGTTGATGAGGTAGATATTATGATCATATGAAATTTAGTATTAGCCTAGATAAAGAAGGTTTGTGGCATATACTGTCTTTGCAAAACCACCTCTTGAAATCTTGCATAAATAAACTTCCCAATATCGATAATTCAAATTTTTAATGGGGGTTAGAGGTGGTCACTATTGGGGATGCTGCTAGATAACATTGTTTCATAGTATTATGCCTAGACAATGGGAAGTGTACAATGGCAAGTGTTATCTTGAGTCAGGCCAAAGGAAAAAGTATGATAATGAATTTTTTTAGGAGAAAAACACCAATACTCATGCTAGATGCCACTAATACAATTTCTTTTTCCTTTATTGGTTTACCCAATTATGTACAGGGACATATCCTTTCTATTGCTGGGGTTACTGTGGCTATTTGTGCTGCTCCATTTGTTGCCTTTTCAAATATGATTGCTATTGCAATATGGCCAACTTGGGTGGTGGTTGCTGCTTCTGAGACCATACGAAAGGTTTGTCATGAGTTCCTACTTTGTTTCCTTCTTGTAGTGAGGGTTATGTATTGTTGATCCATGTATTACTTGTCAGTTGATTCTGTATACATTATAGATAAATGCAATTTTTACTGGGGTTCAGAAGACATTTAACTGGAAGTTGTTCTAAAATTCAAATGTTGAGTAAATCTTACAGTTAGGCATCTTCATTACTTTGTAGGTGGTTACTTATGTTGTGACCAGGCCTGGAAGAGAACTTTTATTTACTGTGGTCTCCCAAGAGGAGAAATACAAAGCTAAGGTAAGCAATCTATAATTGATTTTTATTTTTATCGTAACTGGAATGTGGAGCATAGAATCACCTTGTATGCCCATTATTTGATGATCTTATAATTAGTTTCTTCAATTTGAGATGTTGTCCTCAAAGAATATGCACAATAATTAGCATCTATTCAAGTTTTCTTTTTATTCTTGTATACATTGCATCTGTTGTGCTCTACTATTTTAAAATGTCAAAAGTAGCGAAACATCAGGGCTTTTCTGAACACAAGTTTCCACAGGTATGCATAGATGTAATTGTCCAACGACTTGGAGATGCATCCGCAGCAGGAATGTACAAACTACTGTTTGGCACTCTCCATGGGAGAACATCAACCGTTTCCCTCTATGCCCTTCCTGTAAGTCTAAACCAACTTCCCAGATATTTATATTTTAAGTCTCAAACATGTTTTCATTCAATTCAATGAGCTTTTTCATTGTCAGTATCTAACTGCTTCTAGCTATTTTTGTTCTCAACTTTGGTACATTAATTACATAATGCATTCTTTCTCTTAGTGTTTATTATATCTTTTGGCTGAAAATCCTGTGGCTGAAGATTTGCTTTTATCTTTTGGCTAGTTGTTTATTATGGATCGCTACAGCATTCCATTTAGGACGCCGCCAGCACACTAGCAAAGCTTTCAGCTTCCTCCCCTTCCGAATTTTTTTTCTGGAAAGGATGATTTTTTGTTTGACAAATAGTCAGTTTGTTAGTTCACTTAATGTCTTACTATCATGTAACTAACAAGCTAAATAATGACAACAGTTCTTGCATTTGTGTTGCCCAAATTTATATAGAATATAATACCAAAATAAGAAGCAAAAGCAGCTATCTATGAAAGAGGTATTAATTTCATTCAGAAGAAACATCAACATTCGAGACTGCCATATAATTGGCTCCTCCAACTTCCTCTCAGCCCCAGCATCACAATATCAATATCGATCTCTAGTTGCTTATTATGTTTTAAACTTCTGATAACAATGAAACCTTCGAGCATGCAGATTACTTCAAAGTTCCAAACACTAACAATAGCTGCCATTTTGTCAATACATAAAAGTTTTTTGCCTAAATTTGGTCCAAGTGAACGGGGCATTGATATTGTATCGATCAAGATTGAAGCTGTTGGATAACCACTAATTAACCTCCCTTTCAGGATTCCAAGAGTATCTTCTTCCAAGAGTCCAGGGCCCTCTGCTTAACTCACTGTCGTCTTCACTAGAATTGCACTCCATTTTTGCAACAGCTGCAGCAGGCTGCCTAGCTACTCTCATTTTGTGAAGTTTATTTGAGGGTTAAAAACCAGAACAAAATGGGACTCAAAAACAGAATAAATAACAAAGGAATTAGAAAGTTCCCAATACTGAAAAGTCCCTACAAAGCTTCAAACTACACCTAGAAAACTAGGAATAATAATAATAATGGCAAGAGTGGTGTACCTGGTGGTGCTTTATATATAAAAATGGATAGAATAGATTTAAGAAGAGACATCTCCAATGATTCTTTATATATCCGAAACTTTTATATATATAGAGTCTATCCATAAAATAAGAGTTTAACATACTCTTTATCTTTAAAATATAAATTAGAGAGTCAAATTCACTCTCTATCCTATTTAATAATAAAGTACAAGTTCTTATGCATTTTATTTATTAATTATCTCTCCCATTTAAGTATTTTTCTTAAAAATAAAGAGCATCTTCATTAAATTTAAAAAGTCTATGGATTTAAATAAAAATGTGTTATTTATATTTAAAAATAATGAAGATGCCTTTATTATATACAAAGACGCTTTTCACAAAAGATCACCATTGGAGATGCTCTTAATGAAAGAGAGAATTAATAAATAGAAACTTGTAATTTATTAATTAAAATTAAGATATAGTGAAATTTAACTCTAAATGTAAAGAGTCAAACTCAATTTCTAATTTATATTTTAAAGATAAAGAGTAAGTAGATTTCTGTTTTTATGGATAACTCTTTATAATAAAGAGTTTGGGTCTTATAAAAAATATTTGGAGATACTATTAGGGAGCCCAACAGAGACTTTTCCAGATTCTTCAAATTTTATAAAAAGGAGAGCCAAAAATACATATAATTTGATGATTAATTTGTCACAATCTGATTGCTATTGCCATATCAAGACGACCTGACCACTTATCAATACACATATAACTTAACTTTACCATTCCACATGATTTATTCATAGAATTTGGAAAATATATTAATTTCCATATCGATCTCATCGCCGTCTGAGAGTTGGGGGTTCAATCAGGAATATTGCATTACTTTGTGTTTATAGAGCCGTCACTCAACGCCTCAACTTACCTAGATCGCTTTTTTTTCACATTACATGTGTTTAAAGCTGCTGCCAAAGTAACCCACCCTTCTTCAGAATCACCTATTATTTTTTAACACTTGTTAGCCTACTGTGGTTCAAGTTGAAGTTGGATAGTTCCCTTCAAACTTTGCTTCCAGTAAGCTATCTCAAACTCAACCTTTCTATTCTATCTATGATTATACATACTGCACAAACTAATTATGAATCATTCTAATTTAATACACCATATCTTATGTGTGATATGACAACACCTTACCTTATCACAAATTATTGTTTAGGCTATTAATTAGTGCAGTTAGAGTTCAGATTTTGGAGAGGGGTAAGATATATTACCATATGAATATTTTAGAAAATTCTTTTACCCCTAATTCATTACTTTTTCTAAACCTTTGAAGTCAGTCCGTTGTTGCGACCTAACCCACATTCACTATCATACAAATCAATGGACGTAGGACTTGCTACCTTAGCATCCGAACCACTTTAAAGTTCTATAGCATTTATTTCTCTTTATATATTTCTTTTGACGTGTGCTTTTTAATCAATCAACGCTGCACACGTATTGATTAGTTGATGCCAAAATCTCGCATCAACAATATCATTATGGATTGGATTAACCTTTCTACTGGCTTATGCCTGATTCTCACATCTCTCACCATCTATTTTCATTCCAGAAACAGAAATAAATAACCTACATGGAAGAATCTAAACGAATAAATAACTGTACGAGGCACCAAACTAATAGATAAGCGAAGAAATTGAAATAGAATATGCTTGAGGAGAACACCTAACTTGGATTGACTATCTTTTTAGTTAATAATTGAGTGACAAAGTTCTTGTTACATTAAATTTAACTCGGTAGACTGTCTTCTTCAAACTCACATTGGGGCATAGGATCTTAAGATGTATTAATTGCATTGCTTTAATCAGTCAATGGTTAAGTACATAACATGGACTTTTGTTATAAGTTGTAATGTATAACTATGAATTGAGCTATGTTTAGTGTGTTACAGCGGGCACCTGACACATCATCAGCCACTGTGGAATCGGCCACAGAAGACCACCCAAACTCTTTCAGTTATTTAAAGGCCGAATCAACTGCTACCCCCAAATCGTCTCATAGAATTTACTGGTACCTAAATAACATTACAGTTTTCAGTAGCCCACATTTTATGCTGGCCCATGACTTTATATGGATTGTTTCTTAGCTTCCCCAGGCCCTTGTAGTGATGCTTCATTTTATTGGGCTTAGATTGATTTTTATTCTCAACAGTATATTATACTTCATGTATTGAAAAATTTAAATGACCTCTCAATTACAATTTCATCACCACTGCCTGGACAACAATTACTTACAGGAAAAAAGTTACTGCATAATTGAATCGAAAAACTTAATTAATATAAATAGGTTTGGATGATACAATACAATAACTTTCAAGTTTAAGTAAATCAGAACATGACTTTACTTGGCTTAAACAAAAACCCAGAATAGTATGTTAAACAAACATATCTCCTAGAAAGGATACTGCAATAGAACAATAGAGTGGCTGGTATAGACGCAACTACAATAGTAAGCATGGTGACACAATTAATCTATCATGATAATCTAATTAAAAGGGTTGTGCTAAAGCTACCAACATGGTGATTATGGATGCAAAGAGTGTAGAGAGTCCAACCATCAATTTAAATGGTAATGACTTGAGGACCGCTGCAAAAATTATGCTGGTAATGATTGTTGCAACAAGCATACATGAGTTAGCGGTAGTCTTCATGCATTGTTCTCTCCTTTTCACATAACCTTTTGTGCTTTTGGATGTGGTTATTTGCAGCAAATGCAACATATTGTTTTGCTAATCCATCATAACAACTCCTTAGTTAACCTATCTCAATGACACATTTCTTGCACTGTGTTGCCCAAATTTATATAGAATAATACCAAATAAAGAAGCAAATAGCGCTATTTAATGAAGAACTAAATAATCTCATTCAGAAACAACATTCGAGACTTGCATAATGCAGATTATAACTTTAGATTACAGATTATGCCGCTAAACCTTTTGAATCAACTTTAACTATGGCACCTAAAGTTTTATTTAAAGAAAGATAAAAAATATAATAAGGTAATTTGAAATTGAAGCTTATTATGTAGCGATATAATGTATGATTATAAATTCACAGTTCCTCTTGGACTGGCCAGAGCTACTCTTAGCTCTAGCCATTTGGTTTGAGCACTGCCATGAAAGCTCCTCCAACTTCCCTCTCAGCCCTGGGCATCACAATATCGATCTCTAGTTGCTTCATTATGTTTTTAACTTCTGATAACTATGAAGCCTGTCAAGCATGCAAATTACTTCAAAGCACTAACAAAAGTTCCTATTATACAACACTAACAAAAAGAACTTCAGATATCCTTTCAATCCATAAAAGTTTTTTTGCCCAAATTTGGTCCAAACTGAAAGGTGTCGATGTTTTATCGCTTATTAAGGATCTAATAGTGATCAGAATGAACTGTTTGGATAACCGTGGCTTATCGCCTAGCTACAAAACAACTCTAATAAAAGTCGTTGTAGGAATTGACTAATTAGTTTTTGAATGGTAAGATGTATTCACTGAAGAGATCCACATATTGGGAGCAAAGCACTATGTCTTGGATGAATTCTAGGACGGAGATAATTACCTAAATGGTCAAGTTCACGGAGGGAACGGACACGCTCTTGAATCAATCTCCTCTCCCAGTCTGCTATGTCCTCAAAGCGTATTCTGGAAGATTCTCAAAGGCTCCTCCATGGGTCGTTTTTAGCCAGATCATAAGTAGCTCCACGTATTGCTTTTTGTTAGGTCCACCAAGGTCTCTTTGAAGTTAGCGTATCATGCGTATTCAGCTGTCAAGAGACCATAGCCAAGTCATATCAGGCAGGAGAAGGAAAGCATAGCCATAGCTTACGAATTATTGAGCCGCATAACTTAAAGAACAGGGAAGACTCATCTCTAAAGTCTAACCTGACGAATGGAATTTAAAGCAGTACTAATTGCTTGAAATATAAGGCAAGATATATAAGGCAAGGATGGAATCAAGAACTAACATCATGCCACAGACCAAACATGTAAGCAATTGCAACAGCTGGAGCCCTTCCCAATCCAGCAGTACAATGC